CCCAGGTCTTGCAAGACCCCTGAATTAAGGTACATACCCTAATTCCTAATAAGGATCCTTAGACCCCTTAATTAAGGTATATACCCTAATTCCTAATAAGGATCCTTAGTATAAATTAGGGTATATTCCTTAATCAAGGCATATACCCTAATTCCTAATAAGGATCCTTGGTATAGATTAGGGTCTATTCCTGAATTAAGGGGTTTAGGAAGGCCTGGGTCCGATTCCGTGCCTGCTTAGCACATGGCAGGTACGGGCCAAGCTCGCAGACAACCCCGACTTCAACGTCATGTACAACCCCTCCGTTTCCATGCAGCTAGGCCGAGGTTATTGGTGGCTCCAGGGAGCATGCAGGGCTAAAGGATACATAGGCACCATGGTCACGCTCATGTGGAGAACAGGTAGACAATCATGTAACTGCGAGACCGAAACGCTGAGGAACGACCATTCCGTCAGCACGGCCTGGGCCTTTGTTGAACAAGAAAGGCTGCAAGGTTTGCAGGTACCGCTAAATTTCTGCAGCACATGAGCGCTTCCAGCTTTCAGTCGTGCATGGAGCTTGAAGCTTTGTGATTGTGATCCAGGTGATCTAGAAACATTTTCTACCCGGAGCCTATCTGTCACAAGCAGCCATACTGATACTTTCGGACGGAGGGGTATCGGGCAGGGCGTCCGTTCCCAAAGCCCCTACAGCACCTCAAGCATAAGCCCACTCCAAGACTGGGAAGTGAACCCTTAGATCTCTACGCGCCTAAACCCTAAACCCTAAACCCTAAACCCTAAACCCTAAACCCTAAACCCTAAACCCTAAACCCTCTGAGATCGCCAAAAGCGTTGCCGGCAGCAGTACGTTCGTTGATCTCTTGAAGCGGCAGTACGGGCAAGCACAGCACTCAGCAGGGACTTGTAGAGGGGTTTAGGGTTTAGGGTTTCAGGGTTTCAGGGTTTCAGGGTTTCAGGGTTTCAGGGTTTCAGGGTTTCAGGGTTTCAGGGTTTCAGGGTTTCAAGGTTTCAAGGTTTCAAGGGTTTAGGGCTTGTTTTTGCTTAGGTCTGTAGGTAGATTTTTTGTTCGGGGTTCTGTCCTTGGATTTGGGATGTCTCGGGTGTGTCGCACAAGCAAAACATTACTTACAACGGGAGAAAGGTCGGTGCGACTGAGCTTGAAGATCCCAAGGTTTCAGACAGGGCTGAGCACAGAAGCCCTAAACCCTGAACCCTAAACCCTTAAACCGGGCTTTCTGTCTTCTCGCACAGTCCGAGCATCCTATAAGATCCATAGTCGGAAAGCCGAAGAGCATGCTCTTGCACATACCAAGTAGGCGGGGAGGGCTTTAGAGACGACCCGGCCCACGGCAGCTCAAGGGGCCTATTCAAAATCGCATTAATACGAAGAGCCATAAAGTTATGAAAGTCGATTCGCCTATAACTACACCCCCCAAACTGCTTTGAAACACCGTGCCGCGATCCCTTCATCGCAGATGGGCGCTTCAAAGATCCTTAAGGCGAGCTCGCGGTGCACGTGTCCCGAGGAGGCCTCCAAAGTCCCCAAAGTCCCCAAAGTCCCCAAAGTCCCCAAAGTCCCCAAAGTCCCCAAAGTCCCCAAAGTCCCCAAAGTCCCCAAAGTCCCCAAAGTCCCCAACCCTGAGCCCACCAAAGTCCCGGGCCCAAATTCTGAGAAACAAGAAGCAAACAAAACAAAATTGCAAGGGGATGGAAGGCAAGTCTTTTCTCAAGAGAATGATTCTCAAGAATGTTCCCGAGGTTTGACCTGCGACGGGGCTGGTCATGACTGCTCAAGGGCGAGTTGCAGGAAGCTGGCAGATGCGGCGTTGAACTCGTGTGAAGTCTTTTACGAGGACCCAGAGTAGGCCCTCATTCCCTTCTTCAGGGTTTGGGTTCCAGTAAGTATAAGTCCCTTTAAACCAAAAAGGGTACCCTTTTATTCCTAGGTTACTCTTGGGCCTGGTTTAGGTTGCAGAGTATTGGAGAGGTCAAGATTTCGGAGCCTTCAACCCTTCAGCGATGAACCCTCCTTGAACGCCTACTAGCCTGAAGGCTTAAACCTCAGTTACCCCCTTTCCCCCTGGTTAAGCTTGAAGACGCGTATTCTGCCAGACACTTCGAAGAACTCCGAAGGAGTTGTCAATTGAGCCAATCTCACTTTGAGCCTTTGCCACCACCAAGTGGACGGTGATGGGCATATGCCGAGGGCAACGAAGCTACAAAGAGTTCATTCCAGAGACGCCCAAGTCTCACCCAAAAGGCACTCACATGACCAGGTACGGGATTCCGGAAGCCCTACTGCGCGGCTCCTACATGCATGGTATTCACCAGCTCTAAATGTCTGCTCTGACTATTGGGACCATTGCCAAGATGGGAGCATCCGCATGCTGAGGATCACGGGTTTTAAGGTTCCGGGGTCTACAGTCTAGAAGAGCACGGCTCTTGAAAGGATGCAGCAAGGCCTCCTTGGATATGGAAGAGCTCTCCTTGCATCTCGTTGCCTAGGAGTGTGCAAATCGTGAACCGATCGACCGATCGCTTATGCCACGGGCACCCAACTCTCAATGAGATTGAGCTGCCCTCTTGGCCCTGCAAGATAGCCAGAAGCTTTATGCAAAAACAACTTCTGGCCTGTCTGTCACAAGGTTTCAAGGGCTGAGGGGTTTAAGGACTCAGAAAGATGCACTTGCCAGGAACCATATGGGGTTCACTTGCAAATATTGTCCCTTCCCTTGAAGGAGCTACCTGTGGCGATTGCTCTGAGATGCTCATGCCCCCTCCCTCTCTCTCTCTTTCTCTCTTTCTCTCTTTCTCTCTTTCTCTCTTTCTCTCTTTCTCTCTTTCTCTCTTTCTCTCTTTCTCTCTTTCTCTCTTTCTCTCTTTCTCTCTTTCTCTCCCACCCTCTGATATGTATAGTGTGGTTTTTCGAACGGAGTGCTCGTCGCTTCCCCCGCCCTCAGTGCGTTGAGCGGTGGAAAACCCCAAACCGCTAGAGCTTCAAATCTCTCAACGACCTGACAGCCTAACCCCTACACCCTAAACCCGAAACCCTAAATGCTACAGCTGGAAATCGCACCCTACACCCTGAACCCTACATCCTCCCTCTGGCAACACGGTCTTCAAACCTCCAAGCCCCCAAACCTTGGAAGGTGGAAGCCGAGCTCGCCAAGTGGGAGTGCAGCAAGTGCGCTTTTGGCGACTCCCGAAGAGGTTCAGGTAGTGACGCTAGCAGCAACCGTGGCTCATAAGGAGCCTCTCAACATCTCGCAAACCCGACGCCCACCCACCTCGAAGTGTTCTTTGACGCAGAACCAATCATCAAGAACACTTGCTGCTCCTGATACTTCTGGATGTCTGTTAATTTGAGGTCGTTTCCATCTGTGATTTTGCAAGTAGCATGATTTGCACAACCAATCAATGACCTTTGCCATGTCATGGATGTCTCTTCTTAGAAGTCTTGTTTGTGGGCATCCTATGTGCCAAGAGCTTGCAATGCATTGATCATATGATCGTCCATCTTGCATACCTCCTCGTCCACTACCAAAACACGACACCCCGAACTCCAACCCGGCGCCGGGCCAAGGGAAATTCGGGTTGCCCTTGAAGAAGCGAATGGGGAACTCACGTGTGCCAAATTTGTCGTTCTCCCCAAGTTCTGGTCGCAGGACCTGACCAGCCCTAAGACCCCTGAACGGTTGCCCAAACCGGAAAGCCAAACTTCAGTCCTTGAACCCTCTTGAGCAGGTACACCCACATAACGCGAGCGGTGCAGATCATGGATGCCAAGGCAATATGCACAGGTAAAGGGGGTTTACGGCTCACAAGGGCATACGGCATGAGGAGCTACAATCAAGGAGCTACGCAGGATTTGCACGTCTTCTCTGCAGAGCTCAAAAAAAACAGAATGCTCTGTTTGAGGTGATCAACCTTGAGACGATCTTCAGTCGTCCGGCACAGGAGCTGCACCTAAAACGGTGAACCCTAATCCGAGGGGAGCACAAGGTTTACTAAAACAAACCCTTTGGGGGGGCTTTTGGGTGGGCTCTTTTGGGGGGAGCCCTAAACCGTAAACCCTAAACTCTAAACCCTTTTGCGGGGCTTTTGGGGTGGCTTTTGGGGGTTGCGGATGAGGACTGCCCTGTGCCGGTGGCCGTGGTCTTTGTGTATTTCCACCTGGACACCTCGACCGGGGCTCTCACCTACCAGTTTGAGGAGGAGCAAGAGTTTAGGGTCTAGGGTTTAGGGTTTAGGGCTTAGGGCTTAGGGCTTAGGGTCTAGGGTCTAGGGTCTAGGGTTTAGGGTGCAAAGGTGCTGAGCTCCAAACTGCAGGCTATCCAAACTCTTTCAGTCCCCGGCTTCTGGGCATTTCGACATCCGGTCCAAAGTGCGTTCAGGACATGTTCAAAAGTCTTGCTTTGTGTGTGTGTGTGTGCGTGTGTCTATATGTTGTTTTTTTTATCTCTCTCTCTCTCTCTCTCTCTCTCTCTCGCGCTATGGCTTCCCTCTCCAATGGACCATCCTCGAAATCGGTTGACGGTGAGTACTGGGTCGTCAGTATGAGGGGGTGGGGGCGAGAAAGGTGTGCTGATCTTAGGGCCTGGACGACACACAGCCGGCCTCTCGGCTCAGAAGTGCTTCGCTTGAACCCACTTGAAAGCCCACCAACAGTCGGCGACCTTCAGCTTTAGAGTGCAGGATTCCGATGTCCCGAAATCCGTAGATTCCCTAGTGGGCGCTGAATCTATACAAGACATCCAACGATGGTTGCCGAGCATCTCGAATGTGCAGAGTGACTCTCAGAAGCCCGAGACCGCCCCATTCAAGAGTGCAAGCTAAGTGCAAATCCGGCCTCAGCTTCAGATGACGGTTTTTAAACCCTAGAAGCGCGCCCGGAACCATTAGACACCCCGCCAGCCTGAAGACTGGACCAGTGGCAGAACTCAGTCTGACATGCTCGGCCAACTACAGCCTTGCGCCATGGGGTCCTGTGGCGCGCTATGGGCGCGCTGAAGCTGGTTGCTGGGACTGGCTCAGGATCCATTTTGGCCCCTTTTTTCTTGGTGCCTGGAGAGCTGCAAACCCTGAACCCCTTCCAATGAATGATGGAGCCCCAAGTCTGAAACCTTAGACCCAAACACACACAGAGGTTCCTTTTCTGGCCCTCCACGCACATGTGGCAGCTCGCGACGGTCGCTGGGCTTCCGATGCTTGGGGTTAGGACGGTTAGGAGATGCCTAGGCAAGTCCGGCTTGAGGGTGTTACTTTGGGATGCTCCCCTTATACTAACAGTCTTTAATGAGGGATGACAGTACCCCCCCCCCCCTTGTATTCCCAATTAAGGACTGTTAAGTATAAGGGGGAACTGCATTGTTAGCGCCTGGTTGCGGGTCCCAAGCCGGCCTATCCATATCAGGGTGCGGCCTAAATGCACTTCCCTCAACCAACACCACTTCAAGACGGTTCGGCCCGGATGAATCGGGGCTCGGGCGGGGGGGAGGGGGGGGGGGCCTGAGGTGGTGTGCCGTGGCCGTGGGAGCGGGTCGTTGGGTTTCAGTGGTTTGTGACCAGAAGCGTCACGTCACTGCCACGAGAAGTTCCGTACGCTATTGACATACATACTTGCACGTAGGGAAATATTGATGACTCTCACAGAATCTATTCTTCGGTCGATGGAGGCAATCTTCACCACCCCCTTGTTGACATTGCCTGATGTCGTATGGTGGAGCTGTGCAAGATGTTTGTCACTTGGTTTGAGTAGGGGCACTTATGCACTCTTTAAGATCCATAGTTGCAAAAAGACCAGGGTGGCTGGTCGGCCGCCGCCCAGCCTAAACTCCGAAGAAGCATGAACTCAAGCCACAGATGACAAGAAGAGGACTCAAAGCACCAAGAGCCACTGGACAAACCGTGAAAAAGTTGCCAGGGCATGGCCCGCTGCAGAACCCCGAAGCTCGCCCTTGGTCTACTGTTTGCTTAAGAACCCCTCAATAATTAACAAATTCTCTTCCCTACAAGGGTAATAAGGGGGGTTCTTAAGCAAACAGTCGTGGTGGTTCAGGCGGCCGAACCCCGAACCCTGAACCCTGAAGCCTAAACCCTAAACCCTAAACCCTAAACCCTAAACCCTAAACCCTAAACCCTAAACCCTAAACCCTAAACCCTAAACCCTAAACCCTAAACCCTAAACCCTAAACCCTAAACCCTAAACCCTAAACCCTTGGTGGTTCAGGCGGGGAGCCCGACGAGGACCCATGGTTCCGCTGCACCGCCGAAGCCTGGCCTCCAGGCTCCATTTCAAGGTAAGGCAGGGCTTCACCCTAAACCCTCAACCCTCAACCCTAAACCCTAAACCCTAAACCCTAAACCCTAAACCCTAAACCCTAAACCCTAAACCCTAAACCCTAAACCCTAAACCCTAAACCCTACATGGCTTCAATTCAAAGGCTTCGGTTGGTTTATAGCTTCTGGGTCCTCGGTTGAGGACTTTTGGGCTGTGCGGGGCTTTGCGCATGGCGGCTCGGGGCTTTATGCCTTTTGTGCGTCGGGGCGATAAGGGCTTAAGGGGGCTTTCGGCTTGGTCATGGTTCAGGATCTAGGGTTGTTTTGGCTAGTAGGGCTAGGGCTCGAACGCAAGCCCAGCTAAAAAAGTTCCTTGAGAGCGATATACATTACTCCAAACCCTATACCCTGAGAAGGACAAATTCTCAGGTTTGATCGGCCATCTCGGGGCGTGCATGTGCCACTTTGGGTGCGGGGCCGCCGCCGAGCAGCAGTTGGCAGTAAGCAAGCAATAGGACTTCAAGGATTCAAAGGCGGGCTTTCCAGGGCTTTGCTTGGCACCGAAACACAGTAGTTCGAAGTCTGGAGTGTGTTGCTGCTTCGGACTTATCCAGGGGGTCCTCGAACTCCTGGGTACTTTTTTTGTCGGCTTTTGAACGAAGGGTTTGGAGTTTAGTGGTTAGGACCCTTAGACTCCTTGTCGTTGCACTGATGAAGGGGAGTGGTTCCGTGACCTCCTAGGACGGGCAAAGCGCTTCTTATCTGGCGGCCCCAATGTATGCATGCTGCTGGCAGAGGGTGTCACGGGAGAGGAGAGATGTGAGGCGTGTCGCTGGCACCAAGGCTGTGAATAGAAACAAATTGCTTGGCTTTGTGTCTATGAAGACTATGAGCGCCGTGACCACAAACGCAGAACTTCTTTGGGGGCTTAGGATTTGTGGGGCTTAGTGGCTCGAAAACAGGCTGCAAGACCATTCCAGGTTTGATATCTCTGATCCCGGTGCATTATCCAAGCCGGGCTTCGGCCAAGTGGCAGCCAACATTTCGGCGGACGAATGTGCCTTACCATGCTCTGGACACCTTGAGCCCTTGAAGGTTGTAGGTTTGGTGATTTTGGGGTCGGTTACTTGTGGAACAAGTGGGCTCTGGGGTCGTCTCCTGGTAGGCTTACTTATGTTTTGGTTTTGGGCTTCAGATGGGGCAGGTCCCAAGCAGTATGGACCCTTCCCCGCTCCAAACCCCCTAAAATCCTAAAATTTCCCAAAGTACAGGCGCTGATGGGACCTGGTCGGATGAAGCCTCGGCGTGGTTGCGCCGCGATGAGCTGGTCCACAGGCCTCAGTGTTCAAGGTTCGTGCACATTTTGAGGGGGTTAACTTCAGATGTCGGCCGGGCTAATTTAAGGGTCCACCAGGCAGAAGTACGTCGGCGCCTGCCTGGTCGCGGAGTCGGACGACGACTGGACTCTGCAGGCGACGTACGTCGCGTGGGCAGCGCTCGCGGCCTCTTGCTGCTACGTCCTCTCCCCGACCTTCCGCCGCTGCCGCCTGCGTTCTGCCGACGACAGCGAGGAGGAGCCACCCCGACGTCGGGAGCCGCCATGGATGCCGCCAAAGCAGAGGCTCCCAAGCTCAAAGCTCTTGAACCTTAACCTCAGGGCACGTAACAGTAAGAAGCCTCAGAACTCCAACAGCCAAACCCCACAAGAGTGTTTTCCTTTTTTGTGGGTATTCCTCAATTTCGGGGTTTACGAAAATAGGGGTACCCATTTTGGGGTCCTTATTCTAAGGAATCCTACTATCTGGGGTCTATATTGGAGGGGACCACTCCTTGTGTGAGCATGCCTCAAACCACTGGTATTCGTGCAGAGCTATTTACCTTTTTTGTTGCACACACTACGGCGCAAGATGTCTGACGTTTCTGGACATGGTGTGCATTCGCAAGGGTCCAGTTACCATAGTCTTCTGAGCCCAGGCGCACCCTCCGAACGTGCGAAAGCAAAGTAGTTCACGCGCGTCCCAGGGCAAGGTAAGTGCGGTGTGGTGTGACCTAGCCACCCAAACAGCCCAGTACCCTTGGTTAAGGAATGTGCCTTAATTTATATTCAGGATCCTTAATCTGATCTAAGGGATATTCCTTAAATAGGCATCGATGTGGGATATTTCCAATTTCCCTTATTGCTGAATATGGAACCCTAACTTAACTATAAATTATTTTGGACCCTGTTGAAATCGACACCTAGTTAAATAAGGGAAATTGGGCGCTTTGGGTACGAGGTCTAGGGTTTAGGGTTTAGGGTTTAGGGTTTAGGGTTTAGGGTTTAGGGTTTAGGGTTTAGGGTTTAGGGTTTAGGGTTTAGTGTGTGTGGGAAGCCAAGCACTGGTCCTCACAAGGCGGCCATTTGCTGAGGAGCCAGACAGCCCGAGTGGGAGTTCCCCAAGCCCCCCGGAAGAGCGCAAATGGAATGTTTTAGGGTGTAGGGTTTAGGGTTTAGGGTTTAGGGTTTAGGGTTTAGGGTTTAGGGTGTTTTTGGATTGGGCGCGGAGTTCGGGGCTATCGAATTTTCAAAAACAAGCGTGCAGCTGGGTTTGCAGTTCTACTCTGTGCCGTTTTCGCATCGCAAGGCCCTTCAAGGGGGCTCCCTCCGCTCGATCTAAGCGCACCGATGCTGGGCGTGATGTTCGGAAGCAAGTGTTGCAAGTCCTGTGAGGGCATTTAGGATCTCAAAGACTGGCGTGACCTGTGTAGAACCCTAATCTCTTGCAGTTGAGAAAGGCTGCGGCTTAGGGATTTGGATGCTAACAAGGGTGTTTCTTTGCTGCCTCTTTCAATTCAGGATGCCGTATGGGCCCACAGCAGCCAGCATCATCCTGTCCATCGACAAGGATTGGGATCGGGAGTTCTGCTTGGGGGGGGGGTTTAGAATCGGGAGGTTTACGAGAAAAAGGGACCCCCAATATAGATACCCAAACATAGAATAAGCACCTCAACAAGGCACCCCTACGTTCGGAAATTTCAACTGGGTCAGAGCAGAGTTTGAGAGGACGAATGCTCTCAGATTTCCGATCGCCGATTCGGAGAGCATTAAATGCTGATGGTAGAACTAGAAGCCTCAAGCAAGTTGCTTCAGAGATCAAGAGCAACCCTAAACCGTAAACCCTCAACCCTCAACCCTAAACCCTAAACCCTAAACCATAAACCCAACAACCGAGGACCTGGCAGATAAGATCAACGCGCCTGAGGACGAGCGGAAGCGCATCATGAGAAAGTATTTAATGCGTTGGCATCCAGATGCTCAGCTGAGAGCAGCATTCAATCTATAGTATTTCACTACTTGCTTAAGACCCACGTACAATGAAAAATGTTCTTCCTTATAAGGGAGAAGTCAGCATCCCTGCATGAACTATCAAGCTGCTTGGGAAGGTTTGGGGAGTTGTTTCTGGCCTAAGAGTGATGAGCGCAGCCGAGGACAAGAATCAAGAGGAGTCCAAAGAGACCACCACGGCCGTGATCCAACACCTCTACGCAACTTCTTAGGGCTATTTGGAAATACGTTTTTTCATTTTTTGGGCACCTTAATCCCTAAGAAAAAGCTAACAGTGTAATTTGTTGCCAGGGTTCCAAGTTCAGTATAGACTTGGCGCATGCTGGGCTGGTATTTTGCTTGAATCTCGGGCCAGCATATCTGCTTGCCAGGGGTTGGGCTACAGAAACACAAAGGAAATGTACCTTCAAAATGGCAAAAGTCGCAACAATCAGGTGGAAATATGTCCGTGCCCTCAAGGCAAGGAGAGGTCCCTTGCAATGGGCCGTGCGAGAGCACTAAACTGAACTGATGTCAAGGCCTCTGTTCCAGCTGTTCATGTGAAATCTGCGTGCATTCCCAAACAAAGCCAAGCTGCAAGCAAACGCCAAGGCTCGTTGACGGCTCAGAGATAAAGGGCCACCGCCTCTTAACTAGGCCATTGGTCACTCACTGCAAGCCAACAGCAACTGCAACTGCCCCTAAACGTCCCGCAAAAAAAGTAACTGCCCCTAAACATCCACAAAAACCGTTCCTAAACAACCTCGTATCATCCTTCAACTCGCAGGCAAGGAAAGCGTGGTTCCTGGAGGGGGCTGCCAGACTTGAAGTGGTGCCCTTGCTACCCTAGCGCCCCTGTGCGGGATTTTAGGATTTAGGGACTCAGGGGGCGCCATGGGATTTGATAGCTAACAAGCTCCGCCAATCCCACTCCGCTAATGACTCTGCGCTCCCCGCTTGAGGCGCGGGATCTGCGTGCAAAAAGCAGCCTTCTTGCTTGGGTGTTCCACGGCTCTGCAGGTTGTAAGTTGGAATCGGAGGCCATATGCACAAAGGCTTTCAGACGTTTGGTAACCACCGAGTCTCAGGGACAGTTTGATGACAGTCGGCTAATTTAAGGATGCTCAGAGCTTATGGGCGGGGCTTAAGCTTTGAACGTTTTGAGCCTAAGCTAGCAATGGTGCCCCCCGCAGAACATTTACAGAAAGCACATGCAATTCCAGCCTTCCAGCTGCGAAGCCGCTGAGGAAGAGTTGTAATGACTTAGGTTTCAGCTTGAGGCAAGCCCGCAACCCTTTGATTCTAGCCTTCAGGGCTTCTGGTTCTCCTGAACTAAAGCTGCCCCACCCCGCCCCCCCCACCCCCTAAACCAACCCTAAACCCCACCCCCCCCCGCCCCCCCGCAAAAACAAAATCCACAAAAAGCTCCTGCAATCTCTCCACTCCCCTTCTCAACACCCCTGAACCCTGCATCGCCCCTGCACAACCCCCCCGAAACAGGAGAACGTGCAACATGAAGTCGGCGGGCAGAGCCTGGCTCCTGGCATGCCGGGCTCCCGGAAGCTTTGTCATCTTGGGGTTCAGGGTTTAGGGTTCAGGGTTTAGGGTTCAGGGTTTCGGGTTTAGGGTTTGGGGTTGAGGGTTTAGGGTGGGTACCGAATGGAAAGCAAAGGGACCCCACAGTAGCGCCTGCGCATCTGCGCCCGCTCTTGCCTGAGCCAGTAAGCTTTTCGGATGCTCCATCGCTTGTGTCTGCCTTGCGGAGCGAGCTTGGTCTTTGCTTCAAAAGCAAGGCAGGGCTTTGCGACACTAATTTTAAGGGGCCCCTACTGAAACACCGGATCCCCTTAAACTAAGGACCCCAGTAATATCGTAAATCCCTAAAAGAGTTCTATGCTGCTTTCGTATGCTCCTTCAAGGAGCTTACACATGGCAAGAGACTGAAGATGGCGCTCCACCACTCAGTGGCAAACTTAGGCTTAGTAAGAACATGGACAAGCTGATGCTCGGTCAGGACCCAATAAAGTTAAACGAACAGTCCTTCATGGGGATTCTCGCAGGGGGGGGGGGGGGGGGGGGGGGGGGAACTAGAATCCCGACTAAGGACGGTTAGTATAAGGGGGAACATCCCAACCAGGGAAGCTTAGGTCTTCCACCCGAAGTCTACACCAGCTCGAAATCCTCCCAAGGGCTTAGATCTACCCCGACTTCTTCTGAATCCAAGGGCTTGTTGAGGTAGAAGTCAGTTGAGACAAAGTGGTGGGGAGGTGGGAAGTTTGAGCCTTACACGGCTGGGCACCCGAAGCCGCGGAATTGCAACCCCCTCACTGCAAATCCTATGATGCTATGCCCGGTGGTTTGGGAGATTAGGTTTACACGGTCTTTGGCTCAACCCCCATGCAGGTATGAGCGCTGGCTCGACCGCATTATTGGCGACAAGTTGCAGGTCACCGTGGGTGTTGGGAGTTCAGGGTTGCGATTCGGGTTTAGGATCTTGGGTCGATGAGCCTGGGCTATGCTCTCACGGGCACACAAGGACAACAGAGTAAAATGTTGCACGTTGCCCACAAGTCGATGATCATTTCTTGCGAAGCCTGCACACTCAACTAGCTGAAGCGCCAGTCAGGGGTCGCCTCTTCAACAACGCAGAAAGAAGAGCCCACCCTCGAAAACCATTAGCAAGGCATCAATTCAAGGCGTCTGAGGTCCTGCACACTCTGCTTATAGCTTCTTGACCTTTAGAATCAAGGTTGAGGACGGATCTCGTTCCCAATGTGGCAGTAGGCCAGGGTCCTCTTTGCCATCCCGCCGAAGTGAGGCCCTGAGTCCTTTACCACGTTAGCCTGGTTTGTAAGCCCTGAGGACCCAGCCGCAACCCTGAAGATGGACCTTCCTGTTGCTATGTGGGGGTTTACGATATTAGGGGTACCTTATTGGGGTCCTGATTATAAGGGATTCCTACTATTTGGGGGGTCTATATTAGGGTTCCCTCATCTTCGTAAAACCCCCATGTGTTGCTAGGTCCGCCAGTTGCACGACTTAGCGACCTCCTTCGAGCAAACACGCCTCGTACCGCGCGGGGCCTGGAAGAACGCTGCAAAATATGTTCGTCAGGTTATTCGGGCTTAGGCTTCGGGTGTGTTGCTGTTGCTACCCATCTACCAACCAGGGCAGCTGCTGGCTGAAAACTCCCGCATCAGCAGCGTTCCGATGTCCATGCCATGAAGCCGATGATCTCTGGCTTACTTATCGTCATCGCATTCAGAAGCAGCGCGAGCACACATGGAGAGGACTGTCAAGATGCAGAGAGCTGTTCACAGCTCCTGTTGCAAACCCACCTGTTTACCCGAGACCGTGCAGAAGAGTATCACTGGGCCTCCGGTCGTGGAAATTTTCCAAAATACGCAGTGTCAGCACACCCCGCTCCGTTCAACCTCCCTGCCGCTTTCACATGGCAGTGGCACCATCCGCTGGGAAGATTCGCAACACTGACTTATGGCACAGTTATAGATGGGGAAAGCAACATCTATCTATCAGCGGCAGATGGTGTCAGAAAGTTTGACCAGCACGGCACCATTCTTTGGGAGTACCTCTCGCTTCCCGCAGAGGTGATGAATGCTCCAGCTTTGTACAGTGGAATGGTGCATGCCAGCGACACTCATGGTCACATCTTCGCACTGGACATGCGGACAGGCAAGCAAGTGTGGAGAACCCGCGTGGCCGAGAAAATTGGCCAGGACAATGGCTTCAACATGGTCCATGAGGGGATTGCACTCGCAGCTTGTGACCATCGAAAGCCATCGAATTACGACGAGGCCAACCAGAAGGTCAAGGCTCTGAACGCCAGCACGGGCGATGAGCTGTGGACGTTCCATCCGGACACGCCTGTTTGGAATTTCTTACCCCTCTTCGTGGATGACAGCTCCGTTGTTTTCCAGGACATGACTGGCAAGGTCTACCGCCTGAATTTGAGCACGGGGCTTCTGCTGTGGAAGGCCGGAGGACTGAACGGAACCTGGACAGATGGTGGTGTGGCAGTGGGCCCGAATGGTTTGGTCTACGCGGTGAATCTGAACCGTCCCCCGCCTGGCTCTCCTTTGGGCTTTCCAGGGGGCGATGAGTACCTTGGTAGCCCAGTGGTACCCTTAAGCCTTTTTTTGGTTCTGGGTTCCGTTGTAAAGTAACGAACCCAACAAAGGGTGACCCCGATTATCATACGGTTAATGGGCTACAAAGGTACAATCCTGGGACGCTGAGTGCCTACAACCTAAGCAATGGGCATCTTGTGTGGCAAGTGACCACGCCACGGCCTCCCAACAATGCTCCCGCTGTGGGGATCGTCAAGAACCTCAAGGGCTTCTCGGTGGTCATGCCCTTATGCCAGCAACAGACTCGGGGAGCAACTTGCGACGTGCACGTCTACGACGCAGAAACGGGCGGCCTGAGGTGGATCTTCCATGGGCCAGCCCAGACAGGCGTCCTCCAGGCTGGTGATGCCGAGGGAATCTCGCGCCGAATCCAGCATGGGGTCCGCGCGGCGTGTCTGCCAAATGGATGGAGTGCTCCAACGATTGACTCGGATGGTACGGTGTTTGTGGGCAATGAGGAAGGCAACTTTTATGCCTTGAGGGATATGGATGGCGATGGTGTGATCTTCGGAGAAGATGAGGTGGCTCTCTATGACACGAAGGCATCCTTCGCTGGCTCGTCTAGCCCAGCTGTTGCCCCGGGGTTGCTGGCAGTAGCCTCTTGCGACTCCTTGTTCGTATTCAAGTCGAGCACCATCCATCCCACAGGTTTTTGAAATCCCTGTGATGTGCAAGAAGTCTCACATGCTACTTCAGGACGGACTAGTGAGGTTCGTTGAAAATCTGCAACCACAGCTGTTGCTTTGAGCATGCAGTCAGCTTAGAGATCCTACATGTGCAATGGCCAAACTGGAGCTGTTCTGGACAGTTCCATGCACAGCTGAGCTTGCGCAATGAGAGGAACAGCGGCGTTTTGCACGTAGTCAAACCTGAAGTCATTCGGCTTAACATCCAGAACGCTTCCCAGACGTACATCGTCCCCCTCAAAGCCAACAGTCTTTTGGGGTTCCGGGTTGCAGCCGACGCCCCAACGTCCAGGTCCAGGTGTTGAGGAAGCACGGTCGACTTAAACCCCAAACCCGAAAGCGAAAGGAACCGCCGCAAGGTTTCCAGTTTTGGAAGCTCTAATGCTCGGAAAGAACTCCACAAGGCCCTGAGATTTCGAGCCTCCACTCGAACCATTCAGCTAGCAGGACCACGCCCAAACCCACAAGCTTCAAGCCTCCCGAGCCTTGCGCCAAACCCCAAACCCCAAACCCCAAGCCCCAAGCCCCAAACCCCAAACCCCCAACCCCCAACCCCAAACCCTAAACCCTAAACCCTAAACCTCTCTTTCATATATAATTTAAATGTTAAGGAGTTACTGGGCAAGGTCGCCGTTTTACTGGGCAAGGTCTCCGTTTTACTGGGCAAGGTCGATTTTTTGACCAAAATCGACCTTGCCCAGTAAAACGACGACCTTGCCCAGTAGAACGGCGACCTTGCCCAGTAAAACGGCCGTTTTACTGGGCAAGGTCGCCGTTTTACTGGGCAAGGTCGCCGTTTTACAGGGCAAGGTCGATTTTGTGACCGAAGGTCGCCGTTTTACTGGGCAAGGTCGCCGTTTTACTGGGCAAGGTCGATTTTGGTCAAAAAATCGACCTTGCCCAATAAAACGACGACCTTGCCAGGTAAAACGGCGACCTTGCCCAGTAAAACGGCGACCTTGCCCAGTAAAACGGCCGTTTTACTGGGCAAGGTCGCCGTCTTACTGGGCAAGGTCGATTTTGTGACCGAAGGTCGCCGTTTTACTGGGCAAGGTCGCCGTTTTACTGGGAAAGGTCGATTTTTTGACCAAAATCGACCTTGCCCAGTAAAACGGCGACCTTGCCCAGTAAAACGGCGACCTTGCCCAGTACAACGGCCGTTTTACTGGGCAAGGTCGCCGTTTTACTGGGCAAGGTCGATTTTGTGACCGAAGGTCGCCGTTTTACTGGGCAAGGTCGCCGTCGATTTTTTGACCAAAATCGACCTTGCCCAGTAAAACGGCGACCTTGCCCAGTAAAACGGCGACCTTGCCCAGTACAACGGCCGTTTTTTAGTACTGAAATCGACGGTTCTGGGTGGCCTCTCGTTTTCCGACGAAAACCGAGCCTTCACCGACAGGGGCTTTTAAACCGTAGGGTTTAGGGCCCCCGCCACCCCCCCCCCACCCCCCCCCCCTGGGTGACCCCAGGATCGGCCCGTCGTAACGCCTCACCCCTTCCAAGCACATCACCCCCCGATAAGCAAGACCTGGAATCATGCATTTTCACTCGTAACGTCTCATCCCTTCCAAGCACATCATCCAAGCACATCACCCCCCGATAAGCAAGACCTGGAATCATGCACTTTCACTCGTAACATCTCACCCCTTCCAAGCATGATTCCAGGTCTTGCTTATCGGGGGGTGATGTGCTTGGAAGGGGTGAGGCGTTACGAGTGAAAATGCATGATTCCAGGTCTTGCTTATCGGGGGGTGATGTGCTTGGAAGGGGTGAGACGTTACGAGTGACAGTGAAAATGCATGATTCCAGGTCTTGGTTATCGGGGGGCGATGTGCTTGGAAGGGGTGAGACGTTACGGCATGGGTGCGTCGGACTAGAAATTAAGAAAAACTTTTTATTTTCTTAATGTTATGGGATTCTTTGGGCGGGTGGGTTTTTTTCCGTTGCCTACACACACTGCTGGCCTAGTAAATGCTCGAACTTGAGATGCTGAACCCTAAACCCTAAACCCTAAACCCTAACCCTAAACCCTAACCAGTGCCGGTTGCAGAAGGCCCCCCACACACGTGGAAGAGGAGGTGCAGGGACTGTCGGTGGACGACAAGGACCGGGCATTGGGAGCTCCGTTGGTAGGTAGTAAGGTATTAGGATATGGGGGTATGAGTCAAGGGTATATGAACCAGGGTGTATATTACTGTTTTTGGTGAGTGTAAAGAAGGTTTTTTATATTGGTGAGTGTATATGTTTGGTGTCCTTTTGGGGATACAAGAAATATATACCCTACTTCATATGAGTCGAGGGTATTTAGGGTATTAGGGTAGTAGGGTACTCAGGTATTAGGGTATGAGGGTATAAGGGTGTCAGGGTATGAGGGTATTAGGGCATTCTGGTATTCGGGACTTGACGACCTCAATGTGCAGTAACAGCTGAGACGTGGCATCACTGCGTGCACAGCGGAGCATCACGTGCATTAGCTGGGCCCTTCACGCCTGAATCCCATTCGGAGCGTCGGAAGAATCTGGGCGCTTCGGCGGCCGAAGCCTCGATTCGGAAGCGCAGCGACCGAGCATCATGAGCATCAGCCGCGTTTTGGCAGCTGGCGTCAATTTAGAGGGCACCTTTTGCATCCTGATCGGAGACCGCTTTCCAGCAGCTTGCAGTTTCAAGTTCCCCGTTTAGACCAACAAGGTTGTGTCCTCGGGTACTCTTGGGGCCTAGCGACTGAATGATGGTTTCGACGGGTCCCTGGAAGAGAATCTGAGTCATTGGCTTGTGGTGGGCCCTGCAAAACCCGACAGGTCGAGATTTAGGTTTAGGGTTTAGGGTTAAACCAAAGCTTTGGCCTTCCCCTGCAGGAAGCGACTGGACAGAAGAGCCTCACAGAATCTTCGCAGGCGCCCGCTGCTGTTCGCCAGCCGTGGCAAAGTACAGGGGGCTTATGGGTTTAGGGTTTAGGGGTTAGGGTTTAGGGCATTCAGGGATTACCCCCTTCTTGATCTCCAGGCTTGGGAGAGGACACGTGCCAGAGCCGTAAATTCCCTAAAAGCCCTGTTCTGAAGGCCTTGAGGGGCCCGAAACCTCAAAGCAGTGCCGATGCGGTGTGAAGGGCTTTTTGCTAGCTGCTGCTTCGCAGGATCAGGGTTGAGGGTTGAGGGTTTAGAGTGGAATTTCTTCAGCGCTTTGCTGAGTGGCGGCCTGAGGCAAGACCCAGCCCTCCTCCGACTCCCACTCGATAAAGCAAGGGCCATGCCTAACCCCATAATCCCATCAACCCTAAATCTCCGAAACCCTCAAAATTGCGAGGATGGCACGGCAGGGGCCAAAGGCCCAACGGCCAGGGACGCCCAGAGTTGAAGATGTTCGTCGGTCTTTGAGGGCTGGTTCGGCGTAGGCTGTGTTAGTCAGAGTTGCTTACTGTGTGGTGCAGAAGGTTGAGTTGAGGTGTTTGTGTGTTGCAGTATTGGGCTGTTTCAAGAGGGACGGGGTCGTGAGCTCATACAAAGCTTCCACGATGGCTCTGGAGAACTTATGACCTACTAACTGCTTAAGAACCCCCCTTTAAAAAGCAAAAATGTTCTTCCTTTTGCCGGTAATATAGGGATTATTACCCGGGTAGTAGATACGATCTACTTTTGGGATGCTCCCATCTGGGAAACAGAAGTTCAAGGGCATTCAAGGCTTCTGGGGCGGAGGCGTTGCCAGATGCCTTCAAGATGCCCGCTGCGCCCTCCCTACACCCCAAACCCTAAACCCCGCTGTCTCACTCCCTAAACCCTAAACCCCAAACCCTAAACCCTAAACCCCAAACCCCAAACCCTAAACCCTAAACCCTAAACCCTTAGTCTTGGTTCGCACTGACTCCAAGTCCGTGTCGACCCGAAACCCCAAACCCCCAACAACCGTTTTGGATTTAGGCCTCTCGGTGTGCTGGGGACTTTCAGGTGCCTTTGTAAGCTCTTGCATCTTGAAGGCTTCTTGGCTTTTGGTTTAGGGCTTAGGGTTTAGGGCTTAGGGTTTAGGGTTTAGGGTCTAGGGCTTAGGGTTTAGGGTTCAGGGTTCAGGGTTCAGGGTTTAGGGTTTAGGGTTTTGGGGTATTCTGGGGTGGTGCCTGGTGGTTGGGGAGCCCTGCTGATATGCCAAGCCCCAAACCACAGCATCCCGAAGATTCCCCCAAACATCCCAAGAAAAAGCAGCCCATCGGGGCAAGCGCAGAGAGATTGCAGGATTTGAGGTTTGGTTCGGGGTTTTGGGCTTGGGGTCCTCGGAATAGGGATGAGGGTTCTCAATACTCTCATGGACAATTGCATGGTCCCTTAAGAGGGCCCTAAGAAAGGGCACCCCGAAAAACCAAAACAGCCCAAGGGCCCGAACTCTCATGTGTAAGAGTCAAGCCAAGACTGTCACACCCAGCCCAATGGCACGAGGCAGAGCGTCCAAATAATGTAGGGGCCTGAAGAAGTAGAATAGGGCTTATTGTTGTATATTTATAAACGGGCCCCAAGGCAATGCTACTAGTAACGATTCCGATCCCTATGTTATGCACGTTTAGGGCTTCCGCCGCCGTCCTTGCGTGCGCGCGGACGCGAGAGGGGGCCGATGCTAACACTTCCCCCAGGCCGAACGCGAGAAGCTGGACCTGAGCACGCTGCTGGCCAATATCTTCGCAGCGGCCCTAGAATGGAATCCTTTGTGGTACTTTACTGTAACTTTAGATCCTTACCTTTTTTGGGTTTATTGGGTTTCTTATTAAGGCAGGTAAAAGTTTAATTTATAGCCACCCTCCTGAGTGCAGCCAAGAATCCTCGCGTCACTTTCGGACTGGGAGAGGGAAGCATGACCTTCAAAACACGAGAGCTGTATCGCTTCTGATGGCAGAGTTTGCTTGCCAATGTCGAGTTGAGGAGGTCAAAGCAGGTAAAGCGGCTAAGCAGAGTTACTACAAGAGAATGGTTTGAGATTCAAGGCTCCGA